CCCTGCTTGGCAGGGAGGGGTCAGCTTTCTTGACTCGGTGCCTCGCTTTCCTTGCTGTGCTTCCAAGATGATGGGCTGTGGGGCCCAGCATGCTGGAGGACACCCGATAGTGGAAACACTAGGAAATGTCCTAGTGGGATACTTTGGGCCCATGGAGAGCCAGTGACCGCTGGAAGCTTTGTTCCAGTCATCTTCACTGCCCACTCAGTCCTTCAAGAGGGCTTGAAACTTGAAGACTAAAAGATATTCCCTTATGGTCTTGGGAACTTAGTAAGTCTCCAAGTTATGTGTAGAGAAGAGAGAACTATTTGTGCACTTACTTGGCTCTGGATTCCCTTTTAGCTGTAGTCTTTTCTTTTCTTTTTTAATCATTCTTTTCTCTCTCCATTACCCCAGGGAGATGTGGGGGCTGGCTGTCAGGCCCTTGCGCACCAAACAAACAAAGAAAGTTGTAGAAATGTTCCCTTGGGGTGGGATGCGGGGATTTACATGTCTTCATCCCACAGGCCAGGTTGTTAGGTCCTCATTCGAAACATCACACCTGTGTCTTAAAAAAAAAAAAAAAAAGCTACCCAAATAAAAAAAACCAAAATGGCTTCTTGGAACCAGTTTTATGGTAGCCTGGCTCTTTGGGCTAGGGGGATAATGTGTGAATCTGTTCAGTGCTGCAACATTGTAGGGTTTTCATGCTCAGGTTAGTTTTGTCGGTTTGCAGGGGGTGGGAGGTAGGACGGGCTGTAATACCTCATTTTTTCTTCTCTCTCTCTCGCTCTCTCGTGACGGCCACAAAATAGTTGTGCAGCTTCGTACCTCCTCTGCACTGTGTCCTGATTCCCTACTAGTAGCTGTTCTCCGTTGAGTTGGTCGCTTGGTTTTTCTCCTTCCTTTCCGAGTAATTGATCTGTGCACCCTCCGATTGCATTGGTTTGGAATTTGGGCTTTCTTTCAAAAAATAAATAAATGTGGAGGCTTTCCATACCCTCCCACTCCATCTTTTATTATTGCAGTAGAAGCTGAAATATATTTTGGCAACCTCTCTTCCCCCCCCCCCCCCCCCCCCCCCCCCCATTTTATTTTAAGGCTGTAATAAGCATTAGCTAATAAATACTGCTTTTATTTACTCCCGTGGTGTCGGTCCAACAATTGGGTGTGGGTTTTCATTCTTTTCTAAGCGGTACGGTTGAGCCACATGGCAGCATTCTTGTCTCTCAAGTGCTGTCTCTTCAAAGCCAGGTTGCCTTTCCTCACAAGGGACTAGACGATTATTGTTTTTTGTCCAGTCTAGGTTTTTAAAGCTGGCCAAACCAGACAGATCCTCCCCAGCCAGGCTGGATCTCGAAGAGGGGATCGGCAAGACAAGCGTAGGGGTGGTAAGAATAATATTTAGGAGATGCATTATTCCAATATTCATTGCAAAATCTTGGGCAGTTTGATATTTTCACTTTTTAAAATGTTACAGGTAATCCTCGACTTACGACCACAATCGAGGTCAAAAATTTCTGTCAAGTGAGACATTTGTTAAGTGAGTTTTGCCCAATTTTATGGCTTTTCTTAACCCGGTTGGTTAAGTGAATCTGGCTTCCCCTTTAACTGCTTGTCATGAGGTCGCAAAAGGTGCTCACAGGACTGGGGTTCGTTCCGAATTCTAAAATCATATTTTACTGTGAATGAGTCCCAACTATGGTTATAAGTCAAGAGAGATGCCAGTATAACTCTGAAATGTCACTACATGAATGGTTGTATGTCGAGGACTACTTGCATATTAACACATCTTAGACCTGGGACTTAGTCCGGTCTTTGGCTTCCAAATATCAGAGAGGCATGACTACAATTTTCATCAATTATTCATTTATTTGGTTGATTTTTTTTTTTTAAATCTGAAAATCCCACTTCCAGCCCAAAGGCAAAAAAAACAAAAACAAAAAACCCAATTAAAGATGTCTAATAAACTTGCAATAATTTCCGATTCCTCGCTTTCCCCATCTTAGCAAATTTCACCATCCAGGGTTCTTCTCCCTTGGTCCAATTTCTGGAGCAAAACTGGTTCTTGGCTCTGAACGGTAAGGGACTGTCGCTCCGGCGTTATTCTGGAATATTGAAAAACAAGCGGAAATCGCAAGCAACGCTTTAAGTTGGATGGACTTCGATTCGGAGAGCCAGTTTGGTCTAACGGCTAAGGCACCATGCTAGAAAGCAGGAGACCATGAGTTCTAATCCTGCCTTGGGCTTGAAAGCTGGCTGGGTGACTTTGGGCCAATCACCCGGAGATTGTGAGTTTTAGTCCCACCTTAGGCATGAAAGCCAAGTGGTTGACGGGGGCCAGCTATGTTGTCCTAGCCCAACCCACCTCACAGGGTGGTGGTTGTTGGGAAAATAGGAGGAAGAAGCTGTGTTGGACGTGTTCGCTGAGTTATCCATAAAAATAATAAAGTGGGATACAAATAAGACATTAAATAACTCCCAGAATTCTCCAACCAGGGATTCTGGGAGTTGAAGTCCAAGTGGTCAAGATTAAGAAACCCTGGTCTCTCCCCATTCCTGGTCTAGCGTCTACTACCCCATTGCACCAGCCTGGCTGAGCGGGCAGAACAGGCCAGAATCAGCCAGTGAGCTTCTGTGGCTCATAGGAGGACTCGAACCTGGACCCCAGTCAAACACCTTCCCCCACCGAGCCCTATCAGCGTTATCACACTCGCTTTTCCGAGCGTGCAAGAAACTCACCTCCCTTCCACTTCATCTATAGTATCAGGAAGCGGCACGTTGAGGGTCTCGGGCAGGAAGACGGCGGCAATGCCAGAGAGGATGGGGGCCGTCCCGTAGATGAGCGACGGAAGATAGGAGCAATGTTCACCCGTCATTTTGATCATGGGCGCCACAATGCCACCCACGCGGGCCAAGGTGCTCCCGAGCCCCATCCCGGTTTGTCTGCAACGGCAAGAAAACCGCCTTTAAAGGACACAAAACCACAAACCGATGAAAGGAGAAATGAATGCCTGAATTCCACTCCTAGCCTGCCTTTTAGGAATGGCGTGTTTTGATCTTGGCTTGCTGTGGGTCTTCCCCTTCTGACTGTCCCAGCATCCCCACGGTTACGTGATCAAAGTTCAGGTACGTGTAGTCCTCGACTTAACCAGAGTTGAGCTCAAATGTTACCTTAAGCAAGACGTTGGTTAAGTTTTGCCCCATTTAATGACCTTTCTTGTCACGTTAACGGAATCACTGCAGTTGTAAAATTAATAACGTGGTTGTGAAGTGAATGTGGCTTCCCCATTGACGTTGCTTGCTAGAAGGTCGCAAAAGGGGATCACGTGACCCCAGGTCATAAGTATGAAGCAGTTGCTAAGCACCTGAATTTTGATCACGTGATTAGGTGCTGCAAAGGTGGTAACTCTGAAAAATGGTCGTAAGTCTCATTTGCAGTGCTGTTGTAACTGA